AAAAAATAATTTCTGTCCACTATGAGATAAAGGAGAACAACAGCCTGATACCTGCAGAGACCTTGCCAGCAGTGCGCAATTGCGCACGTGCGCAGCTTAGAGGGAACATTGCACACCAGCATACAAATGCAAACAAGGACAGGTGGGGATTCAACACAGTACTGTGCAAAATGAGGAAATTGTGTTAAAGGGCAGTAATAACACATCAGTGTTTGGGCATTATTTGACTCATGAAGCTCAATGGCAGCAGTACAGCATGTGTTGTAATTTACAGATGGATCAAGTTTTGATTGCTTGTATTGTAATATATTTAATTTTTAAAACTAGTCTCATACAACTTACACTCAGTTTTGCAACATTTGACCAGTTAACCTAGATCTTCAGGTAAGCCCTTTACTCAGTTCTCTGTATCTTCGGTGTTTATCTGGATTTTGTCCTCTAGTATGCTGCCTCAGTGTGGAATTTATAAATGATTAACTCATGGATGATGGTTTGGGAAGTCTGTGTAGGTGTTTGGCATTACCTCAAAGGAAAACATGAGATTGAAGAGCTGTTGTGGGCTTCTGATACATCACAGGCTTTCCATTTAAAGTATGTGAAGCTTTGGCTTTGGGCTACAGCAAAGTCCATCATTAAGCTTGTGTTTATCTGAACTTATACCTGATGACTCAGAAATATAGAAAATATTATGCTGATTGTTAACATTTGTCTATAACTACACATAATTAATCGCATGGATTTATAGCTTAGCTTAATTGAGGTTTTAAACTATTTGCGTGATAGTTTAGCAGCATTTCTTAAATTAATCATTTACCTGCAGTAATATTTGTTGCAGGTCTTAACAAAATTATCTGGGAACTAAGTTTGAGAGACTGCAAACATATTAATACATATTAAATGGTTTGATCAAGCAAGATTCGGCATTGTTAAATGTCCATCTGGTGGACAACATGGAGGACTATGAGAGAAGTTGTAAAAAGTATAAGCCATCAGCAGCTGTATCAGTGCAACAGTCCTGCCTCCTGTTGGGAACCTGGGTGCTAATGCTGTTAGCAAGTTCATAATAGGACTGCTGTAGCAGCAGTTCAGGCACAACCAAATTGGGCACAAATCGGGCACCAGATCAGGAAAGTTGGATGCATCCTCTGACACTGCATGGGAAGGAAAGGGATGTGTGAATGTGGATTACAAGAAAGATTTTCACCTATATATACAGCACTTGCCTCATTTCTTTATATTTTGCTTCCAAGCAGCGAGAGCTTTTTTGTGTAAGGGGTCTTGAGCAATAGTTCTCCAGGATTTCTGAGGGTTTTTCTTTGGACATTGGCTACTTTTTTACTCATTTGAAGTCCAATCCCTCTGTCTTAGGCTACGTCCACACGTACACGGGTATTTTTGAAAACTGAGATTTACCGTTTTCGTTTTCAAAAATAATCCAGTCCACACATAAAGGCAGAAATGAAGGAAAACGCTGCTATGAACATGCCAAAGCAGCAGGTGGCGCTAGATTCCTAACCGTGCAGAAATGTTGGCCAATCAGAAGTCTAGAAGCCTCGTGGGAAAAAGTAAACAAAGCTGGGGCATAGAAGCAGAACCGAGTCGTATGTGTGGAGGGACAGTAACTGTGTGTATATGTAAGCATTTAAACACTGCAGAGTACAATTAACAGTATTATAGAAATTCATTTCACCGAAACAATAACGTGGCGCAAAAATATCCACCCTGGCCGGAGTTTTTAAAAATCTGTTTTCAGTGACCAAAAACGCCGTTTACGTGTGGACGAAAGGTGCAAACGCATAGAAAAATCTGCGTTTTCAAAAATACGTGTGGACGTAGCCTTAACATTTTGTTTGTTAAGCCATTTAACACTAACCTGTGACTCATTCAATCACAGAAAAGGGACCGAGCTCAAGAGATAAACAAATAGTTCCAGCTATTTTTCCTGGCAAATTATAAAGAAATGAGGGCTGGCTCAAGACCTTGACTGTTTGACACCTCCTGTCACTGCAAGTGTGTGTCTTAACACCCCAGATTATAATAATTTGACCAAGCAAAGTGGACATTGGGACTGCAGTAATCTCATAAAATTATCACGGTCAGCAGTATTTTGATCGAGAAAATTAAAATACAGTTGTATGCAGTCTGTTTCCAGCATTAAAACTGGTACTAACAAAATGCATAACCACATTCATAGGAGGCAGGTCATGCACCGGCAAATATAGCTGCATTTAGAATATGTTCATTTTAGAAAGCCGAATAGCTTATATTAAAATTTTTACTGGTTTACTGGTCAACCCCTCATGAACCAAAGGCTTTTTATCTCAGTAAATGGTGGCTAAGAGGAAGTCAGTGAACAGAGATGTATGTGGGTGTTAGAGCCATGGACTGTGTAGCCACAGCTGCTTTGAGAGGAAATGGTGAACGCTGCTTTGGCTTGTGCATATTTCATGAACTGAACCCAAAATTGTTCAAACTCTGGGTGTCAGGATGATCTGGGTGTCCGCAGTGCAATATCTATATTACAGTTTATTAGGTTAAAAGGAAGAAAATAATCTTTATTTTTGACTACAAAAATCTTACACTTTATCCCTAACCTAAACAATCGACTAAGTATAAACTAGTGATTAATTTCACTGTTTACAGCAGTGTCTCTGTGGCAGGAATTGAATTGAGTATTTTCCAAGACTTGTAGATACCCTAGTGATACCCATTGAACTTCTTGTGTTTGAAAATCAGTTTGTCTTATTGTTCAGATGATATGTTGGAGACAAAATCTGGAAGTGCTACCCCTCTGCGCTCTGGCTCTGTGGGCAACTACCGGACCGCTATTAAGAACGATGTAGATGGAGCAGAACTTCCAGGTACACCTAGTACCGTGCACCCCACCAAGACTGGAGAAGGCTCTTTGACGTCATCGTTGACCTCATCCATAGATTCCACAGGAGGCGGGGACAATGCATCTGTCCCTCGACCAGGAAGCCACACCATCGAGTTCTTTGAGATGTGTGCAAATCTTATTAAACTACTTGCACGATAGCTCGCAAAACAATCGCTAGCCTTTTTCTCCCTCTGAGTGTCTTTATAGCAATAAGCATGCAACTGAATCGTGGCTCAGTTCATCCCGGCTGAGGATGAAGTGATTGTTCCATGGCACTGATGCAGGTTGGTGTTCCCTAAGCTGAAGGGATGTATACTGAGCTGACTGGGGATGCAAAGGGTTACTGGGGGAAAGACAAATGACTAGCTGATTAATTAGCTAGGACAGAACATTTAGGAACGAGGGTTTTACAATTTCCTGAACAACTTAATAGCAAGCGTCTACATCCAAACTACACATATGCGCAAGTGATTACACTGAATTTTCTGTACTGTAGTCAGGTGAGCACTGCTTTTCAGTACAGAGAGCAAAATCACATTCTTACCTGTACAAAAGGAAGCCACACATGGAGATTGGGGGTTTGGGTGGCAGTCACGGGATGCAGGAAGCACTTTTGCACAAGTTTCTTTTATTTCCTGCTGCTGTTGGTTTTTTTTGGGTTTTGTTTTTTTTTTGGTTCTTTTCAGTAGGGATCTGAGAATTGGTGCACATGTTCCAAAGCGTTATATATAACTAGGGTGGGCATACCCATCACATTCATTGGAGTCTGAAGAAGTTCTGTGACTCCTGTATTTCTGTCTTGCGTCAGGGACTAAAGAATGCGTTCATCAAATTTATGTTGGGTTATTATTATTATTATTTTTTAAATTCTTTTTAAGAAATTGTCAGACTAAATTTCATGGTTTTGTCCTGTTGTGAAAATGTGTTTTTGAATTTATCTGTCCCCCACCTTTTTATATATAAAGACGTAAACATATTTATCAGTGCATTAAATAGGTGGAGTGTTGGTTGTAAAGGAAATTGATTTTTTTTTTTTCTTTCTTTCTTGCAATAAGATCTATTGCTGGATGTTATATATATATATATTTTTTAACAGTCTGGCTTGTAATCATAATGAATTTTATTTCATTCAATCAGTTATTCTGATACACGATTGTCTTTGTATTTAACTTTAGACAGCTTTTTGCCACGACAGTCAAAATCTAGAACTATAACTTTCCATGTCGCATTAGAATGACAAGTTGATTTTTACTTATTTTCTCTTATTTCTTTAGTGTTTTTGTTTTAGATTAATGAATACAATTTCAGTATGATTACTAAGTGAAATGCCTTTTGCCTACATTTGTTTTGTAAATGCCATCACACATGAATAGGCCTCAGGGCTCAGTGAGTAGTAGCAATTACATGCAGCGCGTGGACAATGTCTGTTGGTAAGTGAATACATCCACAATGTCATTTTTGGACATGTTTTAATTTCCTGTACATTCCCTTGAAGTTTGACCTTGTTAAAGGTTTTATGTTTTTAAACCTGAAACAGACTTACGAGCTTTGAATGACATAGATCGGGGAGGTAGATCGCACTTCTGGTAACTTGCAGGCTCACAAAGTAGAGTTGGATATGTCTTTGATTATAAGTGTGATGTATCTCATTATCCATTGCCTCTCCGTGGTCTTAAAGTTTTAAGTTATGCCTGTTTGGCTGCCTTATCATTATCAGTACTGTTTATCAGTTTTATGTCAGTAAAAGTTGGAAATTGTGCCGGTCAGAATTCTTGGTGCTGTTTTTGCGGTTTTGAGGATTAAAATAATCTAATTACACTTTCTTTATGGTTGGTTTATTCGTTTTTCTAGGTGTTTTGCATTACCAAAAAGGGAAAAAATTCTAACTGCAAAAACCTAAAAGATCTGATTGTCATCTTTTTATAGACATCAGTAACTACTGCCATCTTTAAAACGATGTCAACAGGATCAAGTTAAATCAAACTTTTAAGATGATTTGGGGGGGGGGGTGGTTCTTATTTGAATTAAAGTATTTGTATGCCCTTGCTGTAAAGTCAGAATCTTATAATCTGACATGTTTATTAGCAAATGTCAGCAATCTGAACTATCTGTTGTATGAGCATTTTACTTTTCAGAGGTAATTCAGGAGTGACGATAATTGTGACCAACTTGCATCTTTTGTTCATATCCACATTTGACCTTCATGTCTCACAGACAAAATATATGGATCATGGTAAAGGCACAAACACTATGGTGGGGTTTTTGTTTTTTTGTTTTGTTTTTTTTTGGGGGGGGAGGAGTTGCAACCTCTGGTTATAAACTGCTTTTCATGGCTTGCTTGATACATTTTGAAAGAATGTGTGCAAAAAAAGTTTTTTTTTTCTTTTTGCCTCTGATGGAGTATTGTCCTAGTGGTCTGAGTTCAGCATCAGTTTCATCTGCTTCAAAGAATAATTGTTCTGTTTTTGTTTGGTGTGTAAGGGGCCCCAACCAGACTGATTAGTGTAAATCTGAATGGACAGTATTGAATCATTTATATACACAACTGCATAATAAACTGCTAAAATGCACATTTATGTTTGACTTGTTTGTTTGTTTGTTTTTTACCTGAAACATACTGTGAAGAATATATAGAATATTAAATCTACCACTACCATACTAAGCTTTTCTGTTTAAAGCAATAGCATTGGACTTGTATTTTGGAATGTGATCGCAGGCATCGGTAATTTTATTAAAATTTCATATATTTGTCGTTTAAATTAAATCTATATTAACCGATTTTGATTTCACGTTGATTTTCGTGCGCTTTAAAAGATTTAAAACACGGTTCGTGTTTCTTTAAAAGACTGTAAACATTCTCACAACTTCCGGGTCATGCTGCATTCACGCGCATTCCACAGAATGGGAGGGGGGTTGGACCGGTTCAAGGCAAAGTTACAACAACAAAAAAAAGAAGGGGCGTACACATTTCATTCCGAAAAGTTCACCAGTGTCAACGCAAAGTTTACACTTTTGTTCCCTCACGTCTGTAGTTTCAATTGGAGATATTTACTTACCAAAAGAAACTGCATGAATTGTGCAAAAACGGGCTGATTCCCCCCCCGCTGTCAAATTTTCCAGTATTTACGATGGGATGTTGGCTTTAAACCGATAAGACCTGAACGCAACGTGAAGGTCAACAAATGTGGCTAACGATTAGCTAACTGCAGCTTATCCACTGTTGCTCGCGGAAAGCCGTGGATGAATGTGCGTATGTCCCCACTTTGTTCTAAAATAACGAAGTATAAAGACATACCTTCAAAATTAAAAGAAGTTAATTTTATGTAGGCAAGCCTACTGGCATGTCAAGTTTTAATTGCAAATTTTAGCTGAGTTGCCCGAATTAACGTTAGCTGGCGTCAGTATGACGAAGTTTAATTTGTTTTTCTAGCGAGTTTTGGGGATGTTATTGCCATAATAAACGTTAAATATCCAAAATAAAATATAAATCTTTCTGCTACGGTATTTTGGAAACTCATTCAGCGGCCATGTATACGAATCTAGATGGCAAAAGCAGGCCAGACTTGCGCTCATAATAGTATTAATAATAATGTACATTTTTGTACTACTCTCAGTCGTGATTAAAGCTGAAATCGAGCATATATATGATAAGTGACCACCGCCACCACGCGTCGTATTCCGTTTTTTTTTCTTTCATATAGGATGGCGTCATTTGGCTGGAAGAGGAAAGTTGGGGAGAAGGTGTCCAAGTCAGCGGTGCAGCAGTTTGAGGCAGAAGCGGAGAAAGCTGTGGATGATGGGCCAAGTCAGGACCCCGAGGTGGATTGGCTGCACGCTATCAAACGACGGCGGGAGATCCTGCTGGAGGACTGTGCTGCCAAGAGCAAGAGACTGGAGGAGGAGGGTGCCCTGTTGGCTGAGCATGGCAGGTGAGAGTGCTTGGCGCAAACACATTCTGACAGGTACACAGAAACTGGGCCAAGTGTCCTCTTTTTTGGGAATCAAAATATGGTCACCCTAACACACAGTACTGTGCAAATGTTTTGATCCACCTCTTATTTTTTGTCATTTATTATTTCCTTACCCTTAGCTTGGAAAATTAGGCTACGTTCAAACTGCAGGCGAAAGCGCATCAAATCCGATTTTTTTTTTTACCCTATGCGACCCATATCCGATCATGGTATCACAGTGTGAACGGCACAAATTCGATCTGGGTCACTTTCGTATGTGCTACTGAATCCGATACATAAAGGATGTTTTAGAAAGCGACTGCTGTTTGAATGGTCATGTCGCATTAAATCCGTCTTTTACGTCACTGACACAAGACAGACGCCAATTATCAGCGCCGGAGAAGCGTTGTGTGTGACATCTTCTTTTGCGCATGCGGGCCGCTCTGAGTGTTCACACCAATGACTGGTTCACACTAGAGAGCTTTTGCTGTCGCATTTTATTTGTAGTGTGAACAAGCAGCCAAAAAAATCGGATTTGATCAAAAAATCGGAATTGAGCATTAAGACCTGCAGTGTGAACGTAGCCTTAGAAATGGTTGTGGCGATTTATTGAAACGTGCTAACATAAATGGAAATGCATTATATAGGACAGAAACAGTTTGTATCGTTAGTGTAAATATATGGTATGATCGCCTTTATTTTTCAACACAGCCCAGCAAAAACTCCAATCCAGCTCCCTTGATTGCTTTGGAAAATGTGTATTTTCATTTTTGGACTTAACTGTATTTTTATACCGTTTAGGTTTTATAAATATGGAACAGTATGGGCAGTGAGCTACCAGAACCTTTTCTGCAATTCTACAATTCTGAATTGTGCTCCTGAAATTGCATTTCTTTTATATATTAAGATATCTCAGGCATTAAATGTGTAGTTAACCATCTTTACACTGACAGAAAGTGGCGTTTCACTTGTCCGGCCCACTGAAGATCAAAGTGGTCTGTATGTGGCCCTCAATGTAAATTTAGTTTGTCATCTCTGGGCTATGGTGAGGCCAGTCCCTAACTGATAGTGCCCATTGTCACTGACTACCAGTCCACTTCTTGTGTAATCTGGGATACCTCAGTGTGTTGTCTTCATTTTCATTCCTTAATAATGGCTACTTGAAAGACAGCCTTCTACTGAGACCATCTTTCATGAGACTTCAGTGAACAGTAGATTGATAAACTGAAGGGCCAGATGTTCTGTGTCTGGTTTCTGGTGGAATTTTTTCCAGTTTCTTAAGGAAATTACTTCCAG